GACAAGGCCGGAGCTCCAGCCTGTTCTTTTGCATGTAGGCCACCAGGTGCCTGTAGACATACATCGGCCCTCCACTGCGAAACAGACAGTCACCGTAGGCTCGCAGCAGCGTGCAGAAAACCATGGCGCAGGCAGAGAGGCTTCTACGAGCGGAGTCGCTTAACCCCTCGGCCACTCTTCAAACCCAGCTAGGACCCGGCTCTGAAGCTTCGCCGTGGTGTCAGTGACCAACGCCACGTCCTCGAGAGAGTCCAGCTTGACACCTTTGAACTGAGGGCCGGGGTTCTTAGCTTCTCCAGTTCGAGCTCCAGAACACTTGGCACAAGCGTTCAGGTCGAGGCGTCTCCTCGAGCTGGCGGGCAGGCTGAGGTTTGACAGGAGTTGTGCTAAAGCCGAGTTCACCTGCTTCGGGTAAGCCTCAGCAACCTTGGTCCATTGTCGACGGTGAAGACTCGAGTAGCCAGACAGCCGGCGATGCTGAGCGCAGCCTGGGCATCTGACGATCTGTCCACCGAAGAAGCTGCCGACGTAAAACCGAGTCCTTTCAAAGGGGTTCCGAAAGCGCAGTAATCTAAGGTCCAGCAGTGGTCCTTCCCAGATTCCCCGAGGATGTCCTGCCAGGCGGGAGTCCGCCAGAAGTAGCTTCCATGGGGGTTCTCAACCCACACGGGCAGGCGCAGAGCTTGGAACTCTTTGACCACTCTCGCAGTGAAAGCTGCGTGTCTGTTCCCCTCGTCGATTTTCGGCAGCATGGCCTCGCGGGCGCTCCTGGAAGTCCAAGAGGGAACTCGTTGCTGCGCACCGGCGGGCAGATGGCTCGAGAGAAAGACGAGCACATGGGCCCGCCTCCTCCGCCCAAGAACGCTCGATTCCGGATCAGAAAGAAGATCCTCTCTTGCAACTGGGGGTCCAACAGGTCCTCAGAAGCACTCCTGGCGTAGTCAAAGGTCAAGACCCACGTACCGCTCTTTTCGGCCAAGGCGTGCGCGACTCCTCGGGAGCCCGAGTAGAGGTCGAGGTAACCGGGCCGTTGTAGTGCTTCGGCCCGGGTGCGCTTGTACTTCTTAGGGAAAACGTACTGTTCGGAGTCAAACTCAAAAGAGAAGGCAGACGATGCCGTGGGGCAAGTCAAGAACCTGCCCGCCGCCAAACTCCTCGACGGCAACGCTCTGCTGCTCTAAGCTCTTTCCCTGCTACCAACTTGTCACCTGTGTGCTGAGGCTCCTCCAAAGGGGAGGGGCTCAAAGATTTGAACTTCTTATAGACCTCGGAAGGCAAGTGGAATCCAAAGTCGACGAGGGTGGCGAGGTCGCGACGAGGTGCCTTGAGGAAGTCGCGGACGCTGTGGAGGACAAGCACAGTCCGCTCTCCAATCCAGTCCTGGGTGAGATGCCATCGGCGAGGGTCAAGGCTGACCGCGCCGTCTCGAAAGCTCAGGTTCCGGCCCGGCACCTTCTGACCAGCAATCTCCTCGAAGACATCGCCGCCTCCGTCGGAGACCCACACTTCACCTTTTGAAAACGAGCTCAGCTTCACGACCAGGTTTCGGCTCCCCTGATGATTGTGAGAATCTCGGTGAAGGGCAGTCTTTACGTTGGTCATGAAGGCGAAGCTTGTGAACTCCTGGGCCGGATAGGTCTCAGCAACGAATCGCGCCACCGCCGTGTTTGTCAATGGGAAGTCTCTGCAGTTTCGTCGGAGACCCACGACCCCGCCGTGAACAAACATCCCGCTGCTGAAAGAGCGGGTCCCCTCAACGACACCACCCCTCGCAGGCACCTCGGAGGGCAGGAGCTCGCTCAAGCGACGAAGGTCGCCGATTCCAATGATGTCCTTTTGCAAGAGGTCTCCAGCGAACTCCTCGGCCTCGTGAGTTTTCTTTGGCGCCGTACCCAGGTGGGAAATGAACTCGCGTCGTCTCTCACGCCGGGGGGCTTGCTTCTCCGGGCTGGTCAAGGGGACAATGCTATCGAACGCAGAAAGCCCGAGCAAACTGACGGTGTCCATGCCGAGCTCCTCGAGGAAAGCTTCCAACCCTTCACTTCCAAGGCTTCTTCCATCCAAGCAGGCATGGCCTCCCGAGCTTCCCGAACTGCAGCATGACGTGTGGGGTCATCAGCCGGGTTGTCGGAGGTGCCTGCGTAGCTGTATACTCCCGTCACATCTGAAGAAAGGTATTCAGGGAGGCTCTGCCGGAGGATGCCGTTAAGTCTGGGCGAAGCTGACCTTCCCTTAAGCGCGGCTCCTAGTGAGTCACTTGCAGTCACTATGCTTGAGCTGGGATGCGCGAGCCCTCGACGCCGTTCTGAAGCTAACAGAGTGCGAAGCTCATGCACATTGATGTGTCGCGGCCTCCAATTTCTGCGGCGCCAAACTTCTCTGAACTGCACAGACCTGAACAGGGTTTGCCAAACGGGATGGTAGTCAAAGCTCACTCCCTCCGGCAACTCATCCTTAGGATCTAGCTCTCCACGGGCTCGTGCAAGGCTTTGCGCAGGGCGAAGAAGCCTAGTCCATACAGCCTTTCGAAGACTATGTCGCCGTAGCTCCTCAACGAACTTCTCAGGAAAGGACTGAGAGACCTCGGCCTCCCACGAGTCCGAAGCATCTGTCGCCGACACTTCGCAGCAAAATCTGCTGCGTAGGTTGAACCTGACGGTGGGGGCGATCAGCACCAGCATCCACAGCTCAGCTTCGAGAGCGGGCCAAATGCGGAAGGCCTTGTGGTCGCTCAGCCATCGCGGCACCTTGAACACCTCCTCAAGCAAAGACATACATCTTCTCCGAAACTGAAAGATCGCGACAAAGAACCCGGCTATGGACGCCAGGATGTAGCGAGTGGCGGCCTTGGATTGACAAGACAGGAATGAGCCGGCTCGTGAGGGGCCTGCGTGTTCCGACGTCTCCGTCGACCTCTGTGCCCCATACCTCGGCATAGAGCTGTTCTCGGAACGACTTCTTGACATTTTGCACGAGGCCTCCCTCAACGTAGGCAGCTTCCGCACGCCTAAGGCGAGCAGCTCCTTGGGTGGAGCCGTTTCCCAGACTCCTAGCCGCAGAACGATCAGCTTTCTCGGCAATGAACAAGTCGTCAATTACGACCCCGCCTGCGACGCTCGAGCGAGGGGCTCGAGACTTCAATGTCATAAGCTCCTCGGGCGCAAACACCTCCGCCTGAAGAATCAGCGACAAGTGAGCCAACTGTCCAAACTCGACGCTGTTCAGGTCACCCATCGCCATGCTGTTCAGCGCAGCGCGGTAAGGGCCACGCCCCGAAAGCTGCTCCTCAAAGCAACTGAAACTCCTTGCTGTGCTCTCGTCTATCAGACCTGCCAAGGCTTTCCGAACAAGACGTTGTTGACTGATGATGTAGTGATAGTAGTAGTCCTTAAGGTCAGCGCCAGAAAGGACCAACATCTCGTTCTCAGCCAAACGAAGTTGTAGAAGGGCCTCAGCACACCCCAAAGACTGCGTCCACCGATTGAGGCCCGCCTCCAGCAAATTGGGACCCCGGGCATCAAGAATCATCCGGTCAGCGGTGAGCGATTTTCGACAGGGTCAGCGGTCCGAACTGACGAACAGCTCTGGCCGTAACCTTTGCGCAACACAGCAACTTGCCTAGTCTTTACTTTGAGGTCCGCGGCAATGTCCTCAAGGTTCTCGATCTTCGAGGCTACTCGCCCCATGTCCTCAGCACTTACAGGTGAGTGGCAAACAACATCTCGCATCATCCCCTCTAGCCGCCCCACGTGAGCCAGCTGCTCCTCATCAAGAGGGCGACGGCCTTGTATTTCATCAGGAGCTCTTCGAGG